ATATATATATATATACATATGCAAAAACATGCACACCCATCATTAAACCGTGTGTATGCACGCACACAAGATATACGTTCGTATGGATATGTTGATTGCACAAGGTTGGGCCCGCGACTGCCGAGTATTAGTAGCCAAGCCTAGCCAGAGTTGAACCGATGACGAATGCGTTTTCCGCCTTACGTAGCCTTTTCATCAACGAACGCTAGTCAGCTAGTCTACTGATCTGGTGACTGTCACGCCCAGACTATCTCGCCCTCAAGCCAAGACTTTCTCAGCCTGCGACTATACGTCCCTAATACAGGATCCAGGCTTCACGATCTCACTTTCTTGGCTACAGGTCTCTGACCATGGGTGTTGTGTCCTTGAGATGATCCCAAAAACAATGGCGATGTCCCGAATGTCAAATGAAGATCGGAACGAGATGCGAAGCATGAAGGCAAAGCCCTGAGTAAGCCACGATGTTTTTTGAACTAACACTGACGCGCCCAGCAGTGCAGTATATTGACTTGGCTTTAGAGGTAAAGACACAGTCAGTTGCATGCGAGCCGCTGTGTGATTCGTGCGGTCGGTTTACTTAAAGCATGCACCCGTGAAGCTTCAAGCAGCGTTGAAGTGGAAGCGGCGGAGCAGACTGTTGCCGGAGCCCATGCCCTACACTCCAACCCCACTGCCCTAGGTAACACTCTGAGATCAGCCGTTGGCGGGATGTGTATCTGGATCACTACCCCACCTCTGGGTACCTCCCCACAGAGGTCCTGAATTATTACTACCCTTCGAGTTGAGGTTGTGGGCTGAGGGCTCACGCAGGGTTCAGGGTTTCAGACTCATGGCTCTCAGACACGGCTGCTCACCTAGAGTTGGACAAAGTTTCCCTTGTGGCCGGATTCAAACAAGGACTCATCCAGTCCGCAGCCAGCCTTTAATCATCCTACAGCCGAACCCTAAACCCTAAANNNTGGATTGTCCGAATGTGAGCGCCGAAACCCTAAACCCCTAAACTTCAAACCCTAAACCCTAGACACGCGGGCGAGATAAAGCCGTCCTCCCGGAGTCTGCAGCAGCTAATGGAGGGCCTGGTGCTCAAGCCACGGAAGAAGGCCTTCGCAGGGACCCTTCAGCCGTTTGGAAGCACACTTAAGGGGTCGATACATTGACGATTTGTCGGGCTGTAATTAGAGTCATTGGGCATGAGGCTGTCGTGCCTTCGAAACACACAGTCGTTCACACGGAAGCTACGGCTGCGGTGCCACGTGCTTCTTCTCTTGACTTATTCGGCCTGGGTTTGTGCTACCTGTGGCGACATCATGCAGCAGTAGCAGCGGAGCGGAAGGGCACTGTTTGGGCACCGTAAACCTTGCGTTCTCCACCTGTTTGAAGTGTCTGGCGGTGCCAGAGTCCTACAGCAGACGAACTCGACAAGTCAGGGTGAGTAGGGACCCCTAAACCCTTAACCTTGAACCCTAAACCCTAAACCCTAGGCAACACAAAACCCTAAACCCCTAAACCATCCGAAACCCTTAACCTTGAAACCTCCAACCCATTGCAGGATGGCGCGAAGTCGCCAGAATCGCTTGGAAACGTTGCCGGGATCTCGTGAAGGTTAGGCTGCGGTTCCCCGGGTTGTTGGTGCTAAGAACGGAATGAAAGCCAGAGATGATGAGCATCAGGCTTTGGACAGAAAATTCCTAAGGTGCTTAAGAAGGCCATGCGATTCCATCGCTGTGCATCCCAAGCTTCGCGTCAAAACCCGGGAGTTGTTTGTTGCCAGCTGGCTGACACGCCGCCCCGGCACCCTTGTTGGCGCTATTTTCGCTCGTGCTGCTTCCCAGTTTTGGTCTGCACTGCGCGTGATCCTCGAGCTTTTGTGCATTTAGTCATTGTTTTCTTTGTGCGCTTGCGTTATTTTGGTTCTTTGGGTTCAAATCTCGAGTTTATGCGTTTGTTTACAGGGTTGTATGCTGGAAGTGTCGTTTTAGGTGACCTAGGTGCATTTTTCCGTGCTAAGTGCTACTTTTATGTTGGTATTTCTGTCCTGTCTCCGAACTTCGAGCTTTGGGACAGCATCCATAGACCAACCGTAATAACGTCCACTCTGGCCTCATCCGTCCGTGTGGGGAGAGCATCCATCCCCCAACCGTAATATCGTCGACTCCGACTTCATCCGTGTGGGGAAAGCATCCATGCCCCAAGCATAATTAATAATCCATAACGTCCACTGCGCCCTCATTCGTGCAAGGAGAGCATCCATGGCCCCAGCACAACAACGTCCTCTCCGACCTCATCCGCGTGGGGAGAGCATCCATGTCGCAACCCTCATAACGTCCACCCCGACCACATCTGTGTCGTGGCAGTGGCGCCACAATGTGTGCGCTTTAGCGCTCGTGTGCTGCCGAGCTGGGGTTTGTGCGCAGGGCGAAAACATGTCGTGCAGTCCTGACTCAGCTGCATGGTGAATTGCATGCATACAGTATGAAAGTGCATGTGTGCACCCGAGTGCGCGTGCATGCTTGTGTTTGAAAGAAACGAAAGTACCCCTCCTCACATTTTCTCGCGTGGGGCTGGCATATGGAAGCGTGAGACTCGCGCAGTGTCAAGGAGCACCGAGCTCTTCACCGCCCACAAGATTCTGGGGAAGATGTGGAAACATTCAGTCTCAGCCATTTTCATGCCGAAAACGGACCTGAGGCAAAGCTCCTGTGTAAAGAAGTTGCATGAAACAACATGAAACAGACCGCACCGTGAATCGTCCGCTTGCAACAGTTGACCTTGGACTACTCCAAATCCCAGCGTCTGCAGCCTTGGACTGCTTCAAAAGCAGGGTAGTTCTCGAAAGCAGGGCCCCTTTTTCGGTCCCCGAAATAGGGCGGCACCCTTACAAAAAGGATGCAAAAGGGACACTAATATACAGAAGTACCCATGTAATGTATTTCCTAAGCCGAAGCATCCACAGCAAATCCGGAGCTTTGGCCTATTTGTTTGCTTCTTCAGCGTCTTCCTGGGGTTTTGTAGTTATTTCTTATCTCTGTTTTTCTAAATTCCCCGTTGATGTGTATTCTCCTCCAACCAGCTTCTACCGGCATTGTGTATTCTCACCAGCTGATGTGAGATAACCCCACAACTAGTAGTGCACCACTGCAGAGAATTTGGATGCTCGTGGTTCCCTGAACCCTGAACCCTAGACTTGTCCATTTGTGAGAGCCGAAACCCTGGACTTGGGCATAAACCCAGGTTCAAGGCCACGCGCTGGGCGCAAGCTGAAAAGGCGCCTCTGGCGTCCAGGCGCAGGGTTCTCGATATTGGGGCCCTAAAAAACCCCTAAAAACCAAAAACCCTAAACCCCCAACTCTACACGCTGTGACGCCCAGTTTACCGGAAAAAGTTGCCTTGCACTTGACAGCTTCTAAGTCCGAGTCAGACCTCCCAAGAGGTTGCTCGGGTTGCCAGCAGTTGCCATGATGTCTGCAGCTGGCCGCTCGGCCGCAGGCCTTAACTGTTCTATGTGTTGGCGAGAGGATGCCCCTTTGTTGACTGCGTCTCCTTACCATCATCTGACACGGACTTTCGTCCCTATCTTACGTGATATTCTTTAGGGATGTTCATGTCCCCTCGTAGTGTAAAGGGAACCCCGAACCCGATGCTAAATATGAAAAGCTCATGATGCTCGCCTTTTGGGCCCCAGGGCCCAGTGCAATACACGTTGCAGACTGTGAGTTTCAGCACGACTGACAGGCAGCTGAGTCTGTGTGAGAGCGGTGTGGGAATATATGGGAGCTTCCGAAAATATGGGGTACCTTGTTTTGGGGTCCTTATAATAAGGATCCTATTATTTAGAGTACTATCTTAGGGTCCCCTAATTTCGGAAACCCCCATATGGTGTGATTCCAGAAGTGTCCATACCTACCCATGATATGTCTTGCATCTGGCTTCTGTAGTTTCACAGCAGATAAGCGTCTTGCAGGCCACAGCTGCTGAATGCTCTAGTGCTACAGTCGGAGTTCGTGTAGAGTTCGAGTTTTAAGTAGAGTCCGGGTGCACAGTGCTTGTGGCTTCATAAACCCTAAACCCCTAAACCCTAAACCCTAAACCCTAAACCCTTTAAATCCCAGGCTTTTTGTCACTCTGTTGGCAGCCGAGGCCCGCCGTTTTCAAAGGAGGCCGGGCCGAGCCAAAGATTGGGGCCCAGGGTTCGGCAGCCTTAACTTCAAGCTTACGGTTTAGGGTTTAGGGTTTAGGGTTCAAGCTTGCAGGCCTTTTTTGGTGGCAGGGCTTGGGATGTAGAAGTTGGGGCTACGGTTTGGTATCTGTTGGTTAACCAGCATGTCAGCGGCTGGTCCTGTTGACAGTCATGAGAACACATGGGTTGACACCTTAATCACAATACACCTGCATGATGCTCAGTTCGAACTTCACTTCCGGAGATGGAACATTTTATGCATACTGTGGCAGATCGGGTGATCATCGCACGCTCCTCCTTGATATCCCTACGCAGTCCCAGCACGATGTTCTTCAGCACCAAGTCCTTCGACATAGGATTACGTGATGCTTCGTACCGTTGCATGTTTCATGTTGCCGTACTCCTAATGGGAGTTGTTCTGGCGGCAGGCAATCATCGGAGTCTTTTGCCTGATAATGCCAGGCAGCTGCTTCTCCTCGGGGTCCTTTACCTGAAGCTTGTTTTCTCTGCACCGTTCCACAAACCTCCGTAAGAAATTATTCTGCTTGCAGACGCTTCTTTTGAACTCCACGACGGGCCGGAGGGCAGTGTTTAGATTTTAACATGATTTGACTTCGTTGGTGTTGCCACTGCAACTTTTTTACGCGCAACGCAAACGTCGCGAAAGCCCAGTCCGGAAGCATCAAACTTGTTGCTCTCTTGAAACCTGTCAGCTACCCTCCGAAACTCTTGAGCCCAGGGTTTCAATCAATACATACAGACATACATACACATATACATACATCCCTACCTGCATACACATATTTATATGTATATGTGTATGTGTATGTATACAAGTTATATTTTCCCAACACGGCGTCCCTAGGCAAGGATTTTTGGGCTTCCCAAAGCTCGGGGCTAAGCCGTTTTGGGCTTTCGGGGCGCAGTGGGGTTGTTTTGGAAGGTGTGGCCGTCCCCTGGTTCTTCGGTGATTTGCTTTTAGCCTACTGTTTGCCTTAACCCTGTTGTGTCGTGCTGTTGCTTTGTGCTTCTGGGCTTGGGATGCTTTTCTGGGTTCCCGCCGCACCTTCACGAACACCGGTTTTGGTTATTAAATCATGCCGCCCTAATCCCTAAACCCTAAACCAGAGGGCGTAAGGCTTGGACGGTGACCACATCCAGAGCAAGAGAGGTCCTGGCAAGTGCCTTCCACAACTGTGGATTCTGCTGACCTTAACTTGCTAGGCTGAACAAGGTGCTAATAAACACACCGCCCTAAACATACCGCGACCACTGCTGACTTCTGAAGGGGCCAATGGAGGCTGCTGCCACAAAGCCGCCTGCAAGCCCGGGGCCGGAATATCACAGGATCAAGTTGTACAGGGGCCGAAATAATTACCAATACCATTTTGGGGGCTTCCTTATTATAGTTGTAGTAGAATATACCCCACAACCATTAAGGCCCCTTTAGTTTCTGGGGTTAGGAAGGGCCTGACTTGTCAGTGGGTGCTCAAAGAAACGGCCTCTTGTCCGAGTTTGTTTGTTATGCCGCGGGTCATTAGGCCATAAGGCAGTGCATGGGTGCTGGTGGCAAGCGTTCGCCCAGTTGCCGTTTGCATACACATATTCTTACGAGCCGGTAGAAGGCCTTGTTAGATGCGCAAAACAACATCGCACAACCCTTAACAAAACAGCTAGCCAAAAACCGTCTGCCCGCGCCGAAGCCCTGAATCCTAAGCCCAGAAGTCATACTGTAGGGTTCGCAATTAAACGGCCGTTGTGTCGTTCCAGCATGAGAGCATCAGGTTCCGCACAGCAGAAATTTGATTTCAGGATCGGGCCCAACCCGGGGCCAATGTTCCGAGAGAGCCCAAGCGCAGCGGCACAAGAGCTGGCGCTCGAAACGTTTTGCTCGCGCCTCCGAGGTGACAGCAGCGATCAGGATGGTGCAGATCTCTCAGATGCTCTTTCGTTCCGGCGTGCGGAGTGTAGTTCTGGTACAATCTGGGGCTGGCAGCCCCTTCGTGCAGAAAGTTTGGTGTTCCGATTGCAGGCCGGGTTTCTCTGTTGTTGGGGGACGGCTTGATTGAGAGCCTGGCACAGGGCTGAGTGGTTTGGGTGGTGTTTTCAGGTTTCGGGTAAACTGGGGCTTGGACCTTCATCGGTTCCCTGCTTCCATTTTGGACAGCGCCGTGATCCAGCCGATCACTCGCCACACTATCTACCCATAAATGTGCTTGCATGTATGTATGCATGTATGTATGTATGTATGTACGTACGTAAGTATGTATGTATGTATGTATGTATGTATGTATGTATGTGTAACATGATAGCTTATATCTATATCTATTCATTAGCTGTATATATAATTTTATGTATGTACATATATGTACATATTCTACATATACATATAGGTGTACGTATACATACATGCATACGTACATTCGCACAGCACCTTGGCACGTTTGACCTACACGACATACATATTCGTACATACATGCCTACCTACCTTTGAAGCTCAACATGCCGAAGTTCGCCTGCAGTTCGGAAGTGCTCTGCATGAAAACCTGCGGGCAACTGTATATGTCTTCTTAGCGGATCAGGGAGGGTGGCGGATGAAGAACAGACTATCTCTCATGGCGACTCCGAAACCCGAAGCCAGACAGTGGGCCCGAAGGATGGTCTTCAATGTCTGCTATACCAGCAGAGAAGGATCTGAAGAGCACATGCATGTCTGCGACACAGTCGGCAGCCGCAGCCACAACATAATAAGAAAGACACTGCCCACACAAGGGATGTTCACTTCGAGCCATGCAGCACGATGGCTCCCCAGGGATTTCGTCGAGGCATCCCAGATCGGTGGCGCCTGGACGCTCATCGCGTATGGCATCATGCTGGTAGTTTTCCTGTTCGAGCTGGCATCCTTCATGAGCCCGGGGTACACCACCATGATGGCCCTGGACAAAGCAGGCAGCGATTCGCTGCAGATCAACTTCGACGTAGATGTGCATGACATCGAGTGTCGGAACATGCAAGTCGTTGTTTATGCTCAAAATGGCAAAGAAAAGCTTGGCGTGGTCGGAGAAGATTTCTGGTTGCGACCCATTGACGCTTCGGGGAAAACTTTTGGAGTTGCGGTAAGGCCCCAGGAGTATCAATGGCAAGAGCAAGCAAAAGATGATCATGACGAAGTCATGCAGAAAGTGCGGCATGAAGATGGCGCGGAGGAGATCGATTCTGATTGGTCTTCTTCGCACGATGGTTTCAAGCACAAGAGCTTCGAGCATGTCATACAGGGCCATGATTTTACTTTCATAAACTTCTTTGCTGGATGGTGCAGTCATTGCCAGAAGTTCGCCCCAGAGTGGGATCGAATTGCCGAGAAGATCCACGGCAAAGGTGATGCTCCAGGCATGAAGTTTCCCGACAAAGACGGCATCGAGCGTCCCATTCGGCTGATCAAGCTGAACTGCGTGGACTTCAAGGAGACCTGTGTAGAAAAAGGCATCGATACCTACCCTACATTGCGGCTCTATAAGGCCGACGGGTCCTTTACAGTCTACGACGGTCGACGTGGGGAGGCGGAGATCGTTCTCTGGCTCTATTGGATGGCGAAGATGAGCAGCTCTGGCTGGGGTAAGCACCATGAGACCTTCGAGCGTGGCTGCAATGCCCGTGGCCGGCTGCAGGTGCCGCGTGTGCCTGGCCACTTGGAGCTCATGGCCGGGGGTGGCGATCAGACGCTGAACCCTAGGATGACCAATGTCAGTCACACCATCAAGCACCTGTCCTTCTCGGATTTGTCCGTCTCGGCTGCAGAGGATGACATGTACAGGGCAGCGCACTTGCTCCAGCCCTGGAAACACTTCCCCGGCGAGGTCACCCGAAACTTGGCACCATTGGATGGTCGCAAATTCGTGACCAGCGGCTTTCATCAGGCTTACATCCATGAGCTGAAGGTGGTGAGCACCGTCGCGGGCAAGGAGACGACCTACCAGTTTCAGCACCAGACTCGGATATCGAAGCTGCCCGAGGCCGCCATACCTCAGGCGCAGTTCCACTACGACATCGAGCCGTTTTCCATCCACGTGCAAACGGATGGGAAGAGATGGTACGATTTTGGCACTTCCCTATGCGCGGTGCTGGGTGGTGCTTTCGTCGTCCTGAGACTTGCATCCCGGTTTTCCGTGCACCTCTCCGCCTCCCTGAAGCTTGGAGCGAAGGCTCAGCGGGGAGGTGCCATGAGTATCGGCCGCTTCGAGTGATCCTTCGACTGATCGCGGTGTGGTGCTCGGAGCCGCGAGAGCTTGGGCTTAGAATGCTTAGAGTCCAGGCGCTCCGAGGATCTCAAACTCCGCAACCCAAAAGCGTTGTTCGCTGAAGTGGCCGGAGGTTTTGTGATGTGTTTAATGATCCTAAGTGACTTTCCCTAGTGGGCTATCCTGATTTCTGGCTCCGCCGCTTCATCTGTGTATGTAGCTCGCCCCTGCCGAACACAGACTCCTGGTTGGTGTGCAGCTAGCCTGGGTGTATCGTATCAACTTTTATGCATGGCTTTCCTTGGAACTCGTGTTAGGCAGTAGTATCCCGAAAGTTTCACGCAGACTACACAAGCCCGTCGAAGTCGCCAGGATCCTGATGTACGGTTCAATTAGCGTTAGGGTTTAGAGGAACCTCGTTGCGAAGTGAAATTACGCCGACTTCCCAGCTGAACAGGATCAGAGCCTGGGTTCAAAAGGGGTCTGAATGGCAGTGCTGCTTCCCGGCTGATTGGCAGAGTCTGAGTTCAAAAAGGGGGTGTGAAGACTGGCTGATACAACATGCAGAGATGATCCCAAGCCGACTGCAGCCAATGTACTACTTCTCACCGTACACACCTCGCCTTTAAAGACCGAGTCGCGAGAGCCCAAACGGTGCGACATAGTCAACTGGGCGAGTGAGAAGAGACTCTAAGACGAAATGGGTCCCTAAACCATAAGGCCCTATGGTTGGAACTGGTTGGAATCGTTCAGGCCTGTATGTTCGATTTTACATTTTAGCTAATCTGGCCCAGTGGGAAGAATCACAAAGCAATGACCGATTCAACGCTCCAGACACATCCAGAAATTCATGAGTATGGACACATACGATAACTTGGTTATACGTATGTATGTATATATATATACATATAAGTATATATATATATATATATACATAGTTGTAAACACATGAACATACACACGTATACACAAAACATATGTAAGTGTACAAACATATAAACATGTATGAGTTCATGAATATACAAGCGTGCGAATATATGAGATTCTAAAAGTACACAGTGTAGTAGGGTATAGGCTTAAAAAGAATCGCCATACAAGCCCTAAGTAGCAGCAGCACTTGCAGAAATCAGGGTAGAACAGCTCATGACCCCCGAAAGCCCCTACTGCAAACCCTCTAACTTTCTTGAACCTTCATCCCTTGGCCCGAAAGCCCAAGCCCTCTCAAAGCTCCAGGACAATCTCTTCGAAGGGCTTTTTTCCAAAGACTTGGACGACCCCGACGAGGCGAAGTGTAGTAGTCTCTTCGTTTTAGGGTTTAGGGTTTAGGGTTTAGGGTTTAGGGATCGTCATAGTACAAGCTGCTAGTAAGATATGTCTGGTGGTCTGGGTCTGACACGCTGGCTTGTACTTCGCGGCGTTGGCTCGAGACAGCCTGTGAATTGTCCAAGAGCCGGCCTTTTTGCAGACGCATCACAGCATGATGTTGGCTTCTCTGGTCGTTGCAATGATCCTTCCCAGCTCGCATGCAGGGCATGGGCTGGACAACAACTGGACAGTAGCAATCACCGGCATGAAAGATGGCAACGATTGCCT